ATGAATGACGTTACTATGAATATTCTTGTCTGTGATTCTTGGTGCAAAAGTGCAAGACTTTTTCTACATTTAAAACCTTGGTGGGGGGGGCAAAGGGTGGGGGGGGCACCTGGGTGGCTCAGTGCATAGAACATGTGTCTCTTGATCTTGGGGTTGGGAATTTTGAGGCCCACGATGAGTGTAGAGATTACTTAAACATTTTTTTTAACAATTAAAAATAAATTTAAAATGAAAAAATAAAAAATGGAATGGGATTTCTGGTTCATTGAATATGTGTATGTTTAATTTTACCAGATAAAGTCAAACTCTTTCCCAAAATATTTGAATGAATCTATATACCTATTAGCAATGCATAAACAGTCTTATTGTTCTATATCTAAAACAACACTTAGTAGTATTGTCAAACCTTTTAATTTTGCCAGTCTGGTAAACATGAAGTAGTATTTCATTGTCATTTTAATTTGCATTTTCCTGTTTACTAATGAGACTGAGCATCTTTTTGTATGTTGATGGGCCATTCACGTTTTCTCTTCTGGGAAATGCCTGTTCATGTCTTTTGTCATTTTTAAAACTTATGTTACTTCTGACATTTCAGTTCATTACATAGCCTAGATTCTAATCATTTATAAGATAAATATGTTCCAAAAGTTCTCACAATGTGTGATTTAGTTTATCATTCCCCTTACCGGGTCTTTTGATAAAGTCATTCTTAATTTTTCTGCAGTCGGGTTTATCAAATATGTTCTTGTATGGTTTATTTTTTGTCCCTTAAGAAATTCTGCTCCATTGTCTGTCAACTATACTTCAATAAGATAAATAAATAGCAAACACACAAATAAACATAAATAAATAAATAAAATTCTGCCCTATCTTATGGTCATAAAGATATTCTCCATTATCTATCTATGCATATACATACACATACACTTTTAAAGGTTTAACCCACTGGAAATTGATGATATGTGTGTGCATTATTCAGTTTTCCTTATTTTTCTCCAAATGGATTACCAGTCGTTCCCATTCCATATGTGTATAGCACATCTTTCCCCACTGAGCTGTGATGCCCTCTGTCATAAATCAAAGTCCACCTGCGTGTGGGTCTGTTTCAGGGCTCTCTCGTCCGTACTAGTGGTCTCCGTGTACCAGCGCCACACGATTACTAGTGATATCTGATAGAGTGAATCTACACACCTTGCCTTCACAATAATGTTTTAGTTATTCTTTCATATAAACTTTAGAATAAATTTGTCAGATCTCACAAAAGGATATTTTTTTCCAGGTACATTTAAGAACTATATTCAGTCTACAGATGAATTTAGGGATTTTTAACCTCTTTTTCATTCGGAGTCTCCTAGTCTATTACTATGAAAAATCTTTCCGTTGATTAATGTGTTCCAATCAAAATTTTTCTAATATTACCCACAAAGATCTTCCACAATATTAAAAAAATTTTATTTCAAGGCACTTTGTGTTTCAGTTGTAGGTCATTTTTTTCATTAGATTTTTAATTTTTCTAAATGCTATTGACATTTAGAAATGCAACTGACACACAAAGATTTCCTATAAAACAACCTTCCTAAACTCTTATTAATTCCAATCATTTATCTGTAGTTTCTTCCGTTCTCCACATAGATATCATACTGACTATAAATGGTGATTGTTTTGCTTTTTCCTTTATAATTCTATAAAGGAATTATAGATTTCTTATCTTATATTTCTTTTTTTCTGTCTTGTGCCCACAAAAAAGCTGGTCTAGTGTGAAATGGAGTGATCAGAGCAGGCAGCTTGGTCTTGTCCTGGGGTGCTGGCTCCACAGGTGAATTCAGTTTGTAAAAATGTATCAAGCTGTGTACTTATGATTTGTGCATTTTTTTCTAACACTATGTTATTCTTCAACAAAAAGTTAAAAAAAATTTTTTTTTTTTTTAGGAATATTTCCCCAACATCCTAACCTCTCCTCATGCTCTCAGGATGCCACTGAACAGGTCTGTACCTGTCTATTTTCAACCTGACTACATATTACTGTAGAAAGGAAGTCTGAAGTGAGAACACTCATGCTTGTTTTCTTGCATTTGAAGAACTACCAGGGGGAGGGGGCACAGAACTAGTCTCCGCAGCTTTAGAGGGCAGAGTGCAGAGTGCAGAGGGGAGGTGAAAGTACAAGGAAACAGACTTTCCATTAAGCAGAAGGAAAGCTTTCCAACAGCATCGTCGTCTAACCAGAGAATAGCCTGCTTTTTGAAAAAGTGAGCTCCCAGCACTGCTAAGTATTCAAGCAGGGCTGGATACAAACCTACTAAGGACACTACGCACAGCCACCCCCCTCCCCCAGCCAGTGGAGCGGTGGGGGCGGGGAGTGGGCCGGATCACTGCTTCTGTCTCTTTCAACGCCTAGCTTTGAGATTTTTAAAGAATTGAGTTTATTTCTTATCCTATGTTGGGGGGATGCTTGCTTTATCAGCTCCGTAGAAAGCTACTTAGAAAACTAACCTTAAAATAAAGAAGAGTCAACAAAAGCAAAACGGACTGCTCCAAGATGTTAGTACTATTGATAAACCCCTAAGTCCGATCAAGAAAAAGAGAAAGATAACACATTAGAATCCCCCCCCAACCAGCCAGCAAGTGCGCCTCCAACAATCTTTGAATGCAAGTGTACTTTATTCTTATTTTTTATTCCGAATCCCCCAAACCTTGCACTGCTTCTCGAGGTTTCTAGCCTTATTAGTCTGTCATTCTACAGCCTTTTCAGATAAAGGACAAAGTGGTTCAGGCACTCATTGATTTGAAATCCAGTAAGAGAAAAAAAAATCTGTTAATGGGGCTGGCTGACTTTTTCATGAAATCAGGAATTTTGAACGAAGGGAAGTTCTAAAGATTTTTATTGAGATGGGAGGTGATTCTGTGATTTCACAGTTTTACTTTATTTTACTTTCATTCCACCAAGCTCCTTCTTTCCGAAAATCTTCAGTTTGTTGGTAGGTAAAATACATCCTCAGAGTCTCCCAGAAGCTGCGCCATCAGCCTTAAAGACTAAAAAGAAGCCTCGTTTCCTTGTGCCGCTATAGAAATGTCTTCCTTCTCCACACCCGGCTTAACCGGATCAAAGTCTTTTTCATTCTTCGTTGATTGTTCTCAGAAAATCTGGAGTCCAGACAGGCTTGAGCCAAGACAGGGTGACCTCTTGAGGGCAGACCCCGAGGCATGGCGCTTCTCTTCCCTTCGCAGACCCAGGAGAGCTGCGCCCCCTCTCCGTGCGCGGAAAGAGTACTCCAGCCGAGCCGAGAAATCCGTTACCAGGCTGCTGTGTCCCCAAGGGCCATTCCAGGGCGGAAGAGGACGGGGAAAACCGCTGTGTCGATTCCTCGGCCCTGTGGGCCGGGCGCGCAGCGGGTCGGGTTACAGACAGGTGAGTCTGGCGGATGGGCGAGCTGCGGGCGCCAGGGAGCTCCTGGCGAGACGCGCCCCGGCAGCCCCCGAGCCCGCACGAGTCTGCTCACCCACAGGAGGGGTGCGCCCACCGCAGCGGTGGAGGCAGTGCTGCGCGTCCCCGGGCGCACCCGAGCAGGGGCCGTGAGAGGGACAGCGCGCGCCCCAAACGCCGGCACTGCTGGTCTCAGAAACTTGGCATCTTTCTCTTACCAACTCCTCTTCCTTCTCTCCCAACTCCCCCTCCGCGAATAAAGCCCGAGAGGAAAAACCAAAACCAAAAATAAATACAAAGCTCTCCAGCCACCTCCCCAGTAGCAGCCCGTCTTCATTTACTGGGAAAGGTATTTCCCAGCCTCTGATTTCGGGGAGCGGGCAGTTAGGCGAAGACTGTAATGGGAGTGGGCACGGATAAGAGATTTGTTTCGGAGCTGCGTTTGCATAACAGGCGCTCGGCTTTTGTTTCCATTGTGTGTTTATTTGGGTTGATGAGGCTCTTGGGGTGGTAGGTCTTGGGATGGAAGCTGCTTTAGCAGAGCAAGCCGACTTGTTTTCCCCAGATTGTGTGGCACAGATCAGTAATAACGACGTGTTCTAAAGCTGCCGAGCTTTAAGTCATATTATTACTGTGCTTATTTGGGGGGGGGGGTGCTGTTGTAAATGATGGGGATCTTGAGTCCCCAAGTCGCCCTCTTTACCAGAACAGAGCCCTGGGTAATCTCCCTGCCGCCTCCCCCTTCCGCCCGCCGGGATTTCAACTAGCCGCGGAAACCATCCACAAAGTCCGGAGGAACTGAGCCATTTTCTTGCTTGCTTGTCGGAGACAAATCCACCCGGGGGCGGGGGATGGTGGTGGTGTGTGCAACTCGCAGGAAGCTCCAGCTCTTAGGATGGACGCCCCGGGAAGCGGACCTGGGGGTTAACCTCTAAGAGTTTGCCCTGAGGTGCTCGTGATGGGGAATGGGGCGAGAGGCTGATCAAAAAACGTTCTTCCCTTTTTAAAAAGGGGAGGGGGGGGAGAATCAGACGTTAAATTCTTTTGCAAACATTCATGCCTAAGGAAGGGCTGGAACAGGCAGCCCCGGCCGCCGGAACCGGTCGGACAGGTAGCGAGCTTGTTGACACCGTTATGTTGCAGGGCGCATGCTCACTCCCAAGTTTCCTGGTGTCTCTTCTATTCCACCTTATGAAACTTTTTCCCCGGCGTGGTCTCACCCGCGATTTAAGGCATAGGTGTCGCCGAGCCCGGAGGCTGGGAGTCGCCGGGCGTGCGGGGGAGAGGCCTGGGCCGCGGCGCGGCGGGGGGCGGAGGGAGAGGGCAGGCTAGGCGGGAAGGTGGGCTCTGGCCGCCGGGAGCCGGGGACCGAGTCACTGCCGCAGCCCCTATCGGGGAGCAGCCGGCAGGAAGGGGGCCGCCGGCCGGGGAGGGGGCCACACCATGCCCAAAGTCTTCCTGGTGAAGAGGAGGAGCCCGGGGGTCTCTGTCCGCAGCTGGGATGAGCTCCCGGATGAGGAAAGGGCAGACACCTACATCCCAGGTGAGCGCCGCGCGGGGGCCGGGCCTGGGCGCGGGACTCCCGGGGTGGGGGCAGGGGTGTCCGGGTCCCCTCAGCTCACCGCGGGGGCCGGACTGCCCACCCCATGCCCCCTCTTTCGGGGCGGGGGGAGGTCCTTGAGGCGCGTGAAGACTGAGAGGGAGAGGCTGGGGAACCCGCGACGCCCTGCGCCCCCTTCCTCCTAATGGGCGCCTGTAATTGCCCGGCGGCGGGACCGTTGGCTGCAGCGTGGGACGAGGTGGCCCAGGAGGGGAGACTGAAGGCCAGTAGGGGCTCCTCTCGGTCCCATGCCCTCATAGAGTCGCCCCAGGATCCGTCAGCCCCTCGGGCTAGGTAGGTTGAAGTCAGACCCCTATCCCCTCATCCCAGGGAGAGGCAACTTGGCGCGTAGTGTCCCCAGCCGCCCAAGGCCCTCGGTTCCTTGTGGGCGCGGGAATGGGACCGAGGAGCCGCCCCCCCCTCCAACCCCGTGCTCTCTCGGGAGGCCGAGCCGGGGACTCTCTCGCCCACCCCCGCGTGTTGCCCACTTGGCCTGGTGCCCAGGTCCAGGGCGGGGCGGCGGCACCGCCCGCAGGTCAAACTGCCGCGGACTCCCGGGCCTGACGCCGCGTGTCTGTGTCGGGGCGCCGCCCCTCCCTCCGCAGTGGGCCTGGGCCGTCTGCTCCACGACCCCCCCGAGGACTGCCGCAGCGACGGCGGCAGTAGCAGCAGCAGCGGCGGCAGCAGCAGCGCGGGGGAGCCTGGAGGCGCCGAGAGCAGCTCGTCCCCGCGCGCCCCCGAGCGCGAAATCCCCGAGCCTGGCGACGCAGAGGGCCCGGGTGGACACCTGGCGGCGATGCAGCGCCCAGTCGCTAGGTCGAAAATCAAGGTATGGTGTCGACTCTGCCCCCGCCGCCACCTGCACCACGCCCTGGCGTCGGGCTCCGGGAACCCGCGCCCCTCCCTGCAGCTCCCGCCCGCGCACCCGGGCACCGGTGCACCCCGGCACCGAGCGCGCCCGCCGCGCCGTTCCTGCACCTGCCTCTGGGTCTCGGCCAGGGCGGCTCAGCGCGTCCTCCCGCCTGCTGGGTGGCCAGCGGCCCGCGCCGCTGAGCCTTGGAGCCGGCACAGTCTGCCGGGGTGGCCTCTGGAACTGCTTAAAAGACCCAGGCCCAGCTTCCTCCCTCCAGCAGCCCAGTGTGTGTGCGGGGCCTGAAGAATCACCAGGCCGTCGGGGTTCCCGGGTTCAGAAAGGAGGGACCCAGGCTCTCAGCAATTGCGTTCTCTGGGGTGCATTTCCTAGAGCTATGTGAATTCTGAGTTCCACACACTTGCTTGCGTTCTGGAGACCGAGGCGGCAGTTTGGCACACAGTGGCCCTCTCGCAATAACAGCTATTCCCAGTGACAATTATGGAGTGCCCGTTAGACTCGAGGCCTGTGCTGGGCACTTTAAATTTGTCATACCTCTCCAATCTTCTTTAATTAAACTGATGGATAAAGGAGTTCACCTGAAAATTGCCTCAGTGCCCCGCCCCCAGTGGGTTGGAGTGTTTGTTACCCTCCCTTACCATCCTTCAGCAACCCCCTCCCTCTAGTCTTCTAGAATTGTAGGCGACATCTTATCAGGACACCCATCTGGCTTTTCTGGGTAGAACTTCCATGATCGCCTGCTCAAATGTATCCGCTACCCCCAAGATTAAGGAATCCCATTCCACTGACTCAGTCAGCTGGAGCCAGGGAGTGGTGTTTTAGGAATCACATGACCCCATTTCCGAGCTTGGTGGGACTTTGCGGGCTCCAGGCCCTCTTAGTGGGCGATAATTCTGGAGCGCTCCAGGGCGGTCCTGCAGCCCAGCCCGGGGCGGGGGGGGGGGGGGGGTGCGGGATGGGGGTATGGGGAGGAGGAACTCCAGTGTTCGCTATGGATTGGGTGACACTAGGTTACTTTTCCTGGGCGAGGCCATCCCTCCCTATGCATGTTCCTGGTTCCTGGGGTTTAGCTTGGGGGCGGGCTAGGGTGCATTTGGTTATGAATTGAGGCTAGAGGCTGGAGCTGGAATCCTCGGGAAAAGACCTCTTTAAAGGTTACTGCGGTGCCGCGTGCTGCTCGCTGGTAAGTGGTGCTGCTGAGGTTCAAAGTCAGCTGGCCTGAGGCTTTTCTGGGCCAGATGGGGTTAAGTGGGAGGGGACAGTTTGCCTGAGGCTGGTAGCTCTGCCCTCCAGGAAATTCTACTAAGTGTCCCACTTGCATATTTATCACCGGGCTGGAAGGACAATTGCAACGTTGTTTTGGGATTGACTGTCGTCCGTTTGCCCCTCTGTCCCCCAATTTCCCAGATTACCCTGGGAAGAAAGTGGCAGGGGAGAAAGGTCTAGTCCCTTAACCAGCATTTTAGGAGCTCTCTCTTGTCTCAGGTAAACAGTGCCATCGTAGCCCTGGATTAAAGGAATAAATAAACCACAATCTTATTTCTGTGATCTTGCCTACAAACCGCCCCAAGGGCTGCGGGGTGGTGAGTTTGCATCTCAACCATAGCAAAGCTTCTGGATAAGTTTTATTTGTTTACTGAGGATGCTTAGATTCCTTTTCCCTTTCAGCTTCCGTCCGAAAATAGGAGATATCTTGGTGTTAAGATGCTCCAAGCCTCCAGAATTATCATCTGTGGTATTGGCCGTTTTCAAATGACTGTCCAAATTGCCCGTGACTTAGCATATTGGGTAATTCTCTAGTTCTGTGAAAAATATGCTGGACTTTTAAGAATTAGGTTCTCCAAGCGCCTGGTGGCTCAGTTGGTTGAGCATCCTCTTGATTTTGGTTCAGGTCATGATCCTAGGGTCATGGGATTGAGCCCCTCCTCGGGCTCCACACTGAGCATGGAATCTGCTTAAGATTCTCTCTCTCTCTCTCTCTCTCTTTCTCTGCCCCTCTCCCCTTCTGGTGGGCTCTCTCTCTCTAAAATAAATTAAAAATAAATTAGTTTCTTAACTAGAAGAAAAGAAATACCACTCGAGAATGAGGCCCATGCATGAAGCATAATGATTGAGTTTGAATAACTTCAAGACACTCACTAAGCAGCTGGCTCAGAGTAGAGGAGGGGCAGGTTTGAGCCAGTGCCCTGCGGAGAGAGGCAACATCCCATCTAATTTTTTGGAGTGCCTGCTGTGTGCTAGGCAGCCAGGAGATAAAAATGTTCCCAGCCTGGTGTTCTAGAATCATTTGACCGAAACAGTTAAGCCCCCAGGCTCTGGTTTTGTCATTTCTTAGCTGTGTGACTTTAGGCAAGTTGCTAATCTTTCTGGGCCTCTGTTTCCTTGTCTGTGAAATGGGAATAATAATGAAACCTACCTCATAGAGTGGTGAAAATAAATGAGTAAAGAGGGGACTGTGGTAGGTGCCCTTTAACTCTAGCTGGGATTGTCTGGGTTGGTGGGGAGACACAAATACTAATTATTAACTCTGTTACAGCAAAGGGAATGCTAAAGCATGTGCAAAGATGTAATTCTGAGCAGGGAAGTTTTCTTGGTGTGGATTTGAGGGTGAGGAAGGGGGGGAGAGTCAGGCTTTAGGGGCGTATGGCTGAGCCCAAAACTTGAGTCAGTAAAGGACTCAAACCTATGGTGCCCGAAGATAGAAAATGGACCTGCTGGGTCAGAGAGCAAGTGGGGAGGTGAGAAACTGGGACAGGATGAGGTGGTGAAGGGGCCAAGCCAAGAGGTGGGGGTGCGCTTGGGCAGGCAGAGGAGGGCTCTGGAAGGGTTTTGAGAAGGAAGACCTCAGTTGGGTCCATCTTACCAGCTGTCTTTGAGATATATTATCTGTCCCGAGTCTTTTTTTTTTTTCTTTTGTATTAGAGAGGGTGCAAGTGAGCGAGGGAGAGAGGGAGAGAGAAAGAAACAGGGCTCCCCGAAGCAGGGCTCTAACTCATGCGCCATGAGATCATGACCTGAGCTGAAGTCAGATGCTCAACTGACTGAACCACCCAGGGGCCCCTCTGTCCTGAGTCTTACTTCCTTCATCTGTAAAATGGAAAAGCAATAGAATCAGCCTCTCAGAAGTGACGGTTAGATGAAATAAGGGCTGCAGAATGTCTAGCACTTCTGTGCATGTATAAATTGCCAGTAGGAAGTTAGTTTAATAGTGATGGATGGCAGATTTCGTTAACGTCCAGTATTTTGTTGTCTCCAGTGGGGACTAGGGATTTGCCAATCTGGTTGTGCTTGTGAGTAGATCTGGAAAGGAGTCCTAGGTGCTGGTTAGGAAAATGGCTCTTCCCAGCCTGTCTGCCTTCTGACTGTGTGCCTCAGTGCGGTTTGCAAAATCGTCTCTTTACTGCTGAGGATTCAGTAATTTTCCAAACAGATTCGGGGGTGGGGGGGTGGGGGGGGTGGGGGGTAGATCATGTGCATCTGAGAAGGCGGTCGTGACAGGTCTAGGTGGCTTTAAGTCTCTTTTGTCCTGGGCCCATTTGCAGGAATCTAGCTGTGGAGCAGAGACCCCCAGACACCCTGATCACCATTGCCCTTCCTTTGAAGGTTTATCAGAAACTAAGTAACTCTGAAGTGAAATCAGTCAATTGACTGATGTTTTTCCTTCCTGTCTCAGTGGGTGGTGGGACCCAGGTGCAAGTATAGAATAGCAAATGAATCTCCTCCTTTTCCCCTTCTGTTCCCTTCCTTTGGCCTCTTCCAAGGATACTTCAAAAGGAACTGAGTGTAGAATTCCTTCTAAAGTATTTTTGGTCTTTTACCTGACTCTGTAGTCTGAGTCTTCAAGTAGTGCCAGATATGTGAAGGTGCAGTAGTCTTTTTCCTTTTTTTTTTTTTCTCATCATTTTTCATTTGTGGAAACTTTCAGAGGCATAGGGCCCGTTACCCCACCCCAACAACCGTTCTTCTATGGCTGGTCCTGCCCATCCAGCCCCCATCTAACGCCCGACATGTGATTTTGAAGCAAATCTCAGTTATCCTATTATTTCAACCATAAATAACTCAGAATGTGCCTGTGATAGATAAAGATCAAGGTACACGATCACACCCATGTTAACAATGGTGTTCACATTGCTAATTGTCTCATAAATTCATACTTTTTTTTTTTTTTTTTTCCCAGTTTGCTGAGTCCGGTCCACACAATGTCTATACATTGTAATTGACTGACATGTCTTTCAGGTCTCTTTAATTTACACATTCCCCCCGCCCCCCCATCTCTTGTCCATTTCCTTACAAGTTAATTATTGAAGAGATGAGTAATTTGCTTGGAGAGTTTCTAACAATCTGGGTTTTGAGGAATGCATCACCACAAAGGCTAATGCTCCTCGGTCTCCTAGATTTTCTCTAAATAGGTAATTGGGTAGAGTGCCTGGGTGGCTCAGTTGGTTAAGCGTCTGACTTCAGCTCAGGTCATGATCCCGCTGTTAGTGGGTTTGAGCCCCACGTCGGGCTCTGTGCTGACAGTTCAGAGCCTGGAGCTGCTTCAGATTCTGTGTCTTCCTCACGCTGCCACTCTCCCACTTGTGCTCTGTCTCTCTGAAATGAATAAACGTTAAAAAATTATTTTATTTTATTTTTTTAATTAAAAATTCTTTTTAATGTTTCTTTATTTTTGAGAGAGAGAGAGCAGGGGAGGGGCAGAGAGGGAAACACAGAATCTGAAGGAGGCTCCAGGCTCTGAGCTGTCAGCACAGAGCCCGACACGGAGCTCGAACTCACGGACTGTGAGATCATGACCTGAGCCGAAAGTCGACCGCTTAACCAACTAAGCTACTCAGGCACCCCCCCAAATTTTTTTTTTAAAAATGGGTAGTTGGTTCTGCAGCTGCACTGCCCAGTGTAGTAGCAAAAGTCATGTGTGACAATTTAAATTTAAACTAAGTAAAATTAAATATTAAGTT